TGAGCATCTATTATGTGCTGGGCACTGTGCCTATATGGTATACAAAACATCTGTTTCTGGAGCTTACATCTGGTAGTGGAGAGAAGACAATATATTTGTGTTTATTGTAATAAATTTTTAGTGCCCTGAAGGAAAAGAAGCTCGTCTTAAGAATAGGAAAAGAATAGGGTCCTAGAGATGAGCACTTTCAGAACATAAGAAAAGGAAAAAAAAAAATAGGGTTTTAGAGAGAATGGGGGGAACCTAATTTAGATGGCGGTGGTGGTAGGGATCAGAAGAAACCTCACTGAGACAGTAACATTATTAAAACATAAAGGTGGAATTAGGACATAGCCAGGCAGAGAAACTGAGGACAAGCTTGTAGGACTGGGTAACTAGGTGAACACAATATTATAGGCAAAGGCCCTAACTAAGGAGGAAAGGAGCTCAGTGGGCTTTGGGATCTGATGAAGGCCCCTGCAGCTAGTAAGATAGGAAGCAAGAGGGTAGAATAGTATGCTCCTGGGTTGGAGAGGTCAGGGGACTGCTCATGGAGGCCATGTTAAGGTTTTTGTATTTTATCCAAAGTGCAGTAGAAAGCAAAGGAGTTTAGGCATGGAAGTTCCTTGATAAATAATTTTAAAAGATAGCTCTGGCTTCCATGTGGAGAGTGGAATGGAGAGGTGGGAGGGAGATAGATAAGCAAGAAATTAAAATAGTAAGACCAGTAAGGAAACTGAAGTAGGCCAGCTGAGAGGTGAAGGTGGTCTAAATTCAGTGGAAATGGAGAAAAATAGAAGGAATTAATAGATGATCTATCAGTAGTCAAAGGAATGCAGGAGCCTATCATCTTTCTAGAAATCTACCCTTGAAAGAGTTCATAAGATGGTCTAGTTCTCCAGTTCTTCAAGACCAAAAAAAAAGAGGACTTCCATATTAAACTGATTAAATCATCAAGGATAGAAGCAAAGTTGTAATGTTGGAGTTAATTTGAAAGGAAAGACATTTACTGCATAGAGGAGAAAAAACTAGGGATTAGCTAACTATGTGGAAGAGAGTAAACAGATCCATATTCTTCACTGAGTATAAGCATTTTAAGAGAAATTAAAAGCTAGACTTTTACTGCTGATATATTGTTACCTGAGGGAAAAACATAAAACAGTAAGTTATGGCATTTCTATGATTCATTGGAGAAATCCAGGGTTCCAGCCAAAAAATTTTTTTTAACAAATTGCCACCTTTTTTGAATGATATAGAACAGGAGGAACTCTTAGTGCCATTTGCATAGTACCAGGAAACAATGGTTCAATCACAGAAACAACTTCACCAGCAGAAAATAATTCTTGCATGAATTTCAACCATCTTGAATGTGTATCCATGAAAACAAACTTAAATCAAGATCAGCTTGTTGTGAGGCGCTCGCACAGAGGAATCCAAGACCATTGTTGGTTTTATAGCTCTTTTTGGTGTTATAGCACTTCACTGCTTGCAAGCAAGGAGAGAAAGAGCATTAGACTCCTATCTCTGGAATGAGGGAAAACGCCCACCTTATATAGCCAAAAACTTCCCGCCCAAGTTCTCATTTAGGTCCTCTTATGCAAATAAGGGATGCAAGTCTGTTAGTCCGGATTGGTTGGCTATGAGACATAGCTCATTGGTCAGTTCTGGAGCCTAATTTGCATGAGTGCAGGAAGCAAGCTAGGTTACTAAAGTTCACGATTAAGACAGTCAAGCATAAAATTTCTAAAACAGTTTGTCCAGCGGAAGGGGGCAGGTTTAACAATCAGAAAATGCTCAGGGTTCCCCACTACAAGCTCTTTCCAAGATTGTCCATCATTCATTTTCTATTTATTCACTTAGAAAAATTCTTAATGCTAACCCACAGAGGATTTTAAAAACTATTATTAATAGAAAAGCATTTAATATATTCAAATCAATTTTTTATTTTTCTACAAGTGGGAAAAAGTCCACCATTCTGTTGTCAGGAGAAAAACATTATGTTCAAAAAGAAAAATATTATGTTCTGATTTCCACGGCTATGGTTTAACAACACAGAGATTAGGTGCTATATAATCGGATGGTTGAAAAAGGCCCTTTGGAGTGGGCCTGGACACTGGTCGCACTAAGCCTTGATTTTCCAGTCTGTAAAATGGAGATAATACCCACCTTATAAGGGTTTTGTTTTTGTTTTTTCTCATAGGGCTTCAAATATTTCAATAGGAGACAATGTATTTATAAATGTTTAGCCCAGTATCTGGCACATGCCTGAGTAAGTGGATACCTGTTAAAAGAATTAAAAGGCAGCCACATATTTTTTGACATTCCTCACATCAAGAAATGAGTTTATATCTTCTCTCCTTAAATCTGGGTGGGCTCTGTGTCTGCTTGCCCAGTAGAATACAGTGGAAATGATACTGTGCCAATTTCCAATATGAGGCCTTTACCTGACTACCAGCTTCCACTTCCTGTTTCTTGAAACATTTGCTCTTGGATCCAGCAGCCATGGTGTGAAAAAACCCAAGCATCCCTGGGAAGACCTACATGGGAAGGAACTGAGACCCCCAGTCCTCTTGCCAGTATCCACAACTGAGCTCCCAGCCAAGAGCCAACACTAATTTGCCAGCCACGTGAACTCCTTGGAAGAGGCTCTTCTAGCTCCATTCCAGCTGCGCCAGCTGCCACCAAGTAGAACAGAAACTAGGTGTCCTTGCCAAATCGTGCCCAAATTGCAGATTAATGAGGAAAATAATTGTTTTAAGTCACGAAATTTTTTAGTAGTTTGTGACAGCAATAGATAACCAGAATAGATGAAATCAAGTTTCATTCCCCCACCACTCTTACCTCTTTCGTGATTTAGGAAGGGTGAGCAGTTAATTTCACCAGAAATAAGTGTGGTGTATAGAGAAAGCAGGTCATGAGGAAATTTGCTGAATTTGCTGGGAGCTGTGCGACCAGTGCTTGACTAAACAGAACTCAGTCCAGTAATTCAGCAAACCTTTTTAGATGCCTGTCTTCCTTCTGGTACCAATCAGAGTAATAATGAGTCTTGATCTCATCCTCCATACAACTGTGTCTTCGTAACCATCTGTATTTCCAGATCCCACGGATACCTATTTTATGTCCCTTCAAAGATGTCTGCTAATTCATTCGGTTTGGCGATCTGACCCTCAGTTCATAGCTTAAATCCTGTGTCTTCGTAACCATCTGTATTTCCAGATCCCACGGATACCTATTTTATGTCCATTCAAAGATGTCTGCTAATTCATTCGGTTTGGCGATCTGACCCTCAGTTCATAGCTTAAATCCCTGTAGTCATATACCACACATTTGGCCAAAAGCTATCATGCAACCAAAGAGACCAAATGCCTGTAGGGGTCCCATCAAGAGAAATCAACTGCAGAGACTCCTTTTTCAAAATCCGGCAGTTTTGGAGGGGACTTTTCCTGGAGCAAAGTTTTCTGATTTCTGACTGTGTTGCCCAAAATGGTTCTGACAGCTTTTACCTTGCATATTTAACCAAGAAACCAGTTACTGCTGAATAATCTTTATGATGTTAAGATTATGATGTAAATTACAAGACGTCCCCTTCCTGCCGTGGGGCTTTCCTTGCTCCAGGGGGACTGTCTTGCAAATCAGTTGTCTGCGTCCTAAGGAACTGGCTCTCAAGAGAGTTGGCAATTTACAGTGCTTTACAAACACCCTGTGAGGTGCAATTTAGGCATAAGTGAGAAAATTGAGCCTCTTGGCTTAGACTCCTTCATAAAATGGGGGCGACATGAGACTGAGTCACCAAGCAGCACGTCAGAGTCTCAGGTAGCCCATTATGTACTTACTGAGGCCCAGCAATCCTGCCCGACTCCATTTCCCTGACTTCCGCTCCATTTCGCCCCTCCCCTGACGTCGGAACACGCGCGCCTGTGATTGGCTGCCGCGACACGCAAAGCGGCGGAAGGGATTGCGGTGACCATGGTGACGGGAGGCTGGGCGCGGCGCCCAGAGGTCAGTAACAGACTTCTGGACCCGCCACGGCGGCGGCGGCGCTGGCGGGGCGGCCTGGCGGGCTGTGGAGGCCCGGCCGC